ACCACGGGCCGGGCCTGGCCTTTGTCGCCTACCCTGAGGCCCTCACCTTGCTCCCCATCTCGCCACTGTGGTCCATTCTCTTCTTCTTTATGCTTATCCTCCTGGGGCTGGGTACACAGGTAGGTCATGGTGGGGCCAGCGTGTTCAGATGGGGCAGCATGGTGGGGTCAAGGCAGTGACATGCTGCCCCTTCTGCCCCTGATGTAGTTCTGCCTGCTGGAGACTCTGGTCACAGCCATTGTGGATGAGGTGGGCAACGAGTGGATCATCCGCAAAAAGACCTTCGTAACGCTGGGAGTGGCTGTGGCTGGCTTCCTGCTGGGTGTCCCGCTCACCACACAGGTAGGTGACCATGGGACTGTTGCCACAGGGTGCCATTGCTATGGCCACCTTCATCAGCCACATCCGCTTTGCTGCCACTGTGATGGCAATGACAGCCAGGGCCTGGTCTTCCCACACCAGCACTGGTGATGGTACCCAGAATTAAGTGTCTCCATGCTGGCTGTGGCAGCTGTGGGGGTGGTATCCGAGCTGTGTGTTGCCAGCACAGTCAGCACAGCTGTGCTGTTGCCCTGCCAGCAGCGGTGGTACCGCAGGGGCAGCTGTGCCAATGCTTCTGTCTTCCAGGCGGGCATCTACTGGCTCCTGCTAATGGACAACTACGCTGCCAGCTTCTCCCTGGTGGTCATCTCCTGCATCATGTGTGTGGCCATCATGTACATCTATGGTAGGTGCAGCTGCCTGCAGCCAATCAGATGGTAGGGCTGATCCAGCCAGCCAATGGGGAAGGGTTTTCCCCAACATCTGGCCAATCAGCAGTTTGCTCTGTGCTACATGGGGAGGCTGTTGCCCAGTCGGGCGCTGCGGCCTGGGGAAGCTCGCAGGTCCCACCACGATGGCGCTGGGGCTGGAGCCGGCTGGGCGGTGAGTGGGCTCAGGTCACCGCCAAGGCTGACAGTCACTTTTCTCCCCAGGGCACCGCAACTACTTCAAGGACATTGAGATGATGCTGGGCTTTCCTCCCCCGCTCTTCTTCCAGATCTGCTGGCGCTTCATCTCACCTGCCATCATATTTGTGAGCATCGTAACCATGGGGTATTGGGCTGTGGGAGAAGGGGGTGAGGAGCTCACCTGGACACGGCACTCCCTGGAGAGGAGAGTGCTGGGCTCAGGAGAGCAGCAGTAGGGCAGAGCAGGGAAGCTGTGGGGGCACAGAGCAAGCTGGCTGCTCCCCACTGGCTGATCCTGCCTATCCCTTCCCAGTTCATCCTGGTCTTCACAGTGATCCAGTACCGGCCCATCTCCTACAATGAGTATGTCTACCCTACCTGGGCCATCAGCATCGGCTTCCTCATGGCGCTCTCTTCCGTCATCTGCATCCCCATCTACGCCATCTACAAAGTGTGCCGTTCTGAGGGGGACACACTTCTTGAGGTGCGTAGCCAGGGGCTACACCCTTTTGTCTATGTCCCACCTAGGGCTGCCATCAAGGCTGTCGCTGTCCCTGACCTCACTGGGGCTGTCAGTAGTGGCTGTGTGCAGGCAGCATGCATAGGGCAGCACCATGTGTGCACCCGTGGAAGCTGCTGGCATGTTGGTGCAGACTGGGGCAGGGGAGCATGGTGGGTGCTAATCTTGTCTCCATCCTCTCCCTTTCTAGCGCTTGAAAAATGCTACCAAGGCAAGCAAGGACTGGGGCCCAGCGCTGCCAGAGCACCGCAGCGGGCGCTACGCCCCGGCGTTCAGCCCTTCCACCGAGTCCCACCTGGAGGTGCAGCCCCTGCAGCCAGAGAAGGGCCAGAGTGAGGCAGCGGCTGCATCCCCCGTGCAGGGCAGCAATGGCTCAGCCCACAGCCAGGACTCCAGACTGTGACCCCCCACAATCCCTGCAACCCCTCTAACCCCTCTTGCACCTTCCGCTGGCGGAGCCTGGCTCCGGGCCGCACCGGACCTTGGGGGCTCTCAGCACCCATCCCCGAGACCCCCCCACCTCCTCGCCGGTTAACCCCTCCCGCCCCCGCCCCCGTGGCGTTCGTTAACCCTCGTGTTTACGGTAACCTTTGTGCTCGACGCTGGGACAAGAGAGGAGGGGGCACAGCCCCGGGAGGGCCGGGAGCCAGAGGCACTTTGCAGGGGCCTTGACCTGGGGGTATGCACAGGATGGGGGGGGGTGGGATGCTCCCAGGCTCCCACCCACCCCCCCCCCCCCGCCCGGTAGCCCGCCCTCCCATGGGGCACCCCCCTG